GGGGAAGAAAGGATCAATACTGCATCCAGCTCTGGAGCCCTCAGCATAAGAAGGACATGGAACTGTTGGAGTGGGTCCAGAGGAGGGCTACAAAAATGATCTGATGGCTGGAGCACCTCTCTTATCAGGACAGGCTGAGAGAATTGGGCTTGTTCAGCCTGAAGAAGAGAATGCTGTGGGGAGACCTGATTGAGGCCTTTCAGTACTTAAAGGGGGGCCTATAGGAAAGATGGGGAAAATCTTTTTAGTAGGGCCAGCTGTGACAGGACAAGGGGTAATGGTTTTAAACTGAACCAGGGTAGGTTTAGACTGGATATAAGGAAGAAATTCTTTACAATGAGGGTGGCGAAACACTGGAACGGGTTGCCCAGAGAGGTAGTGGAGGCCCCATCCCTGGAAACATTCAAGGCCAGGTTGGACAGGGCTCTGAGCAACCTGACCTAGCTAGCGGTGTCCCTGCTCACTGCAGGGGGGTTGGACTAGATGACCTCTAGGGGTCCCTTCCAACCCAAAACATTCTATGATTCTATGTCTGTGGAGGACTGGTTTCCCTATAAATTGTTGTCACAGGGAATCGTGAGACCAGTTACGCATAGCTGAGGATGAAATGATCATGTCCTAGAATGGTGTCAGAAGCTGTGCTCTCAGGATTTGGGGATGGTGCCTCTTTGTGGCCTGGGAGGCACTTGGCTATAAATTAAAACCATTGAAGTACACCATAAATGATGGGGTTTGGACTGAAAGAGATTGAATGGACCTTGGGTTAAAGAGGTTGAGAATTTTTTGGCCTGGAGTGACCCAGGGCTTCTCTGAAAAGAAAAGAAGTTCTTGATCTCCCTGGCTATTTCCACCCCCAGTGCAATGTACCTTCTGCTGCTGAAACTTGTGGTTTGTTCAGCCTTGTTCCCTTTGGCTGCTGGAGATGTTCCTCAGATAGCTTAGCCAATAGCGGTAGCATTAGTTTCAAGTGCCACTGGATATCTCTTTGTGAACTATGTACAGAGACTCGCCCTATAACCAGTGGAAGCAGGCACCCCTAGCATGGAATTCAGTTCGCTGAATTTAGACGTCCATGTTAGAGAGAGAACAGTCTCAGGTCCGAAGTGCCTGCTTCTCCTCAGAGAGTGTCTGGATCTGCAACTCCTGTGAGGCAAAAGAGCAGCTGTAGATCTGAGTGGAACTAGCAACGGGGTTTCGGTGATACCATTCCTGAATAACAGCAGATGTTCATTTTGATGGAAAATGTACGGGTATCACCTACATTTTTAAAATCAGGGTTTCTTGGTAGTTCACCTGTACTACATTCACATCTTGAAAATATCGGTGTTTGGAGTGTGTTTTGTAGAATAATCCCTACCCTAACCTCCTCCCCCCAAAAACGAGCAAATTGAAAAAAACCCCACCCAAACCTAGTGCAATACTTGGATTTCTTGTAGAGGAGCTTTTAAATTTCGCCCACTTCTCATCATCATTTGATCTATTTTGGGGGTGCAAATCCTGTAGCCCCACTGATGGGGGAATATTGCCATATGCAAGTCTCGAATTTTTGATTCCTCACCTTTTTGGTAAAGGTGTATCAACCACTGGCGAAGGGGGAGGTGGCCAGGTGTCAGTCATGTGAACCTGGTGTGTGCTCTGGCAAGGTTCCTGGGCTTTTCATAAAAGAGATTCAGGGATCGAATGAAGCCTGCATATCTTGTTCCATGGGATTAGAGAGATGCATTATCAGTGAATAATGTTAGTCATGCTTTCTGCTTTCTATACTTCGCCATCTGCCTTTCAAAAATGTGACGTGGTGTTTCCCTGGTTTTGTAACATTAGGTGAATCATGAAGAGCACAAACTCTGAGTGATTTCTTTTTAAAGCACTGAAGGAAGTGTAAAATTCACATTTGTTGTTTCTTGATCAATATTTAATTCAAGGTGAAATAAAAAATTAAGCAGGCAAATGACTCAAACATGCTAAAAAAGCAATAACGCTGTCTTGCTGTGGCTGACAAATGACAAAGAATTTCTAAGAATAGAAGCAAATATATTAATGTGTAGTGATGGCACAGTGAGTCAAAAGAGATGCTTCAACTGAGGGTGGTGAACACACTCCACAGAAAAATGATGCAGAAAACATTTTTTGACTCGGAGTTCAGGACACTTTGCATCACTAATGAAATGGTAGATGGTCCTCCTCAGAAAATACTAATAATTGTCTTTTCACTGTGGTGTTATGGAACAGTTTAAGAACAGTTTTGTTTTATTAGAGGAATGTTTTAAAAGCCCATAGGACCAGCAAAGCCCTATGACTTTTAGGTGAATGGCCTGGGTTTTGTTGGGGGTTTTGGGGTTTTTTGTTTGGTTGGTTGGTTTTTGGATTTTTTTTTTTTAACACGATGGCTGTTTTAGACACCTGGTGTTCAACATCTTGAAGTCTATTTATCTTAGGAATAGATTCTTTTTGCCTACTGGAAGTAAATAGCAGTCTGTCATTTCAGCTATTCATTATTATTGATGCCTCATTTTTTCACCACAATTTTATGGGTATTCTTTTTCATCATCAAATGTGAGTCTGCTTTTCGATGTGGCTGTCAGCAGCTACTTATCATAGATGAAGCGAGGAAGAGGCTGAAATGCGGATGTTGGGAAAGGGCTGGGGGGGCATATCCTCAGTGGAGGTTGTGGTGATCTGGTGCCTCTTGGGATGAAGTCTGTTTTACTGGACACCTGCAACACTTCTCTCCTGCAGTTCTTTCAAAATGATGCTACAGGCTGGTGTTATTTCTATTCACATTACTGATCCATCCTGTTTAGAAACAGAGCAATAGTATGGAAGGTCTTTTCTGCACACTATACGTAGGGAATTATCTAGAAGTGAATTGATATTGCAAAATGCTGTCCTGCATGCAAGCATGGGAAGTTGAGCATTGTTGACAGAGCAGAGTATCTCCTCTTTGGCTATTGCTTGGGAAATAAAGGCCCTTTTTAATTACTACTTCCAGTTTCTTTTTATTGCTTGCTGTCAGCTGCTTTTTGTGCTGAAATTCATCTCTTCTTGTGAACTTGAAAAGCAATATGTGGAATCAAGGTTGGCAGAAGTTCTTAGCACTAGAATATATTCAATAAATAGGATGGGTGGAAGCAGCATGTGGCAGGTGACAGCTCTTTTAATTGCATTCTGTAATATTGTAGTGAAACCTTGGTACCTACTTTTGTTTATTTATTTTTCTTCCTGACAGAAATCAAAGGAATGTTGAGGTTTTTTCTGTGAATGAGAGGACTGGTAGAGGTTCAGTTTGTCTAACTGAGCAAGGTGTGTTAGCTTGGAAGCAGATAATGTCATGGTGGGCAAAGAGGGATTAATGCATACAGGGGGCCTGATCTTTCTCAAGTTCAGAGCAATGGCAACGCAGTTGGATCAGTGGAAACGCCAAGCCTGTGTGTTATGCTGGCTATGTGGGCAGGAGGTGAAAATTGTTGCACAAATACAAAATTAGGACTTGAAACACTTTGGGATCCGCTTTATGTGTGTGCTTATTTCTACTGTGTGTTACTGTACCTAGAAAGCTCAAAATACGCACTTTGACTATGACAGGTTTGGCAATCATTAGGCTGATGGTTTGCTCTCTTAAAGATCTTTTTTACTGAGAAAACTATTCTGAGACCTCTAGATCCGTGTGTATGCACTAACCAGCCTGAGACAAAAAAGAAACCTTTAATCTCTGTTAAAACTCTCTGTGCCAAATATAATAGCTGGCTTCAGCAGTATTTAAAGCAACCTCATTAGAATATGGGAAGGGGAAACAGGTTTTAAAGGCTGATTTTAGCAAGTAATCAGCGGTGTTCCAGATGGTCCAAGTGGGACTTGCTCAATACTGCACATGGTGTTAAAAAAGAAAAATCCCAACAACCCCCCCCAAAACAAAAAGCTCCAACGCTCCCCTGGTGCATGTGTATTTGTGTGTGTCTGTTGGCTCCATGCATGCAGGTTTTTAGCCGTCGAGGCGAAGCAGTGCAGGCTGCTGGTGAGCGGGCTCACAGGCACTGCTGGGGGAAAGCAACCCACCAGCTGCCTTGTTCATACAAGATGTAGCTCTGGCTGTTCAACCCAAAACACCCAAGTGTTTTATCTCTTTCTGGGGTGTGCTTATTTTCACAGAAGGCAAGGCTGCAAGATGTAACGTATTTAAATGTATTCTGACTTTGTAATGGTGCCTCTAGTTTTTCCACCAGTTTTATCGTCCTTGCACTGAAAACTAGTTTTGCTTTAACCCATTATGAAAACTAGTAGTGCTTAATTAATTTTTACTACCTTGTAGCCTTTATGAGAGAGTCTTTGTTCATGTCAGATGAAAGATTGATGTGGCTGTGTGAACCAGAGCACATACTGGAGGTGCATCTAGCATGCTGGACCAGTCGCTTATTTATTAATATTCATGAGCCATCTCATTTAGTGGATGCTCTTGGGACTTGATTAAAGCAAGCAACACTGCTATTGGTGCTTGTGCTGTAGAGAGCTTTATCTAAGACAGAGCTAGTGTTGTCCTTGCTCTTGATGCTAGCGCTGACTACCTGCAGCATTTTACAGGACATCTGTGCAGTGCTTCTGCATAGCTCTTCTTAAATGACAAGTCAAACTGCAACGATAGAGAGAATAAATTTGAAATCACCTTTGTAAATGGTTGTTGCTCACTCCTGTAATTAGTCCTTTCTCTTTGTTCCCAAAGGTCCAGAGGAAGAAATGACCATGTAGATTCTACAGCTTGGGTGCAGCATAATGGGAAATGGTGAACGAAGTAGAGCTGGTCTGCAGCCTTGAACGCAGCCATTCTGCGGACCACTAGTCAGTCAGGGACACCTTGCATGCCAGAGGCATTCTCCACATCGCTCGCTGGACACACGCTGGATTCTTTTTAATTTCTTAGCTTGGAATTCAAGATTCCTTTCCTTCAATTTTTAAACAGTTTTAAGATTGTATCAACTATAACGAGTGGAGCAATATAATCAGCAACAATGGGTGACATGACAAATAGCGATTTTTATTCCAAGAACCAAAGAAATGAGGCCAACCATGCAGGAGAGTTTGGGTGCACACTGCAAGAACTGCGCTCCCTCATGGAACTTCGAGGAACAGAAGCAGTAGTAAAAATTAAAGAGACATATGGGGAAACAGAGGGGCTCTGCAGACATTTGAAGACATCACCAACAGAAGGTAAGCATATTTCTCTTCAGCTGAATTGGGGGACTTCACATAAGTGCTCTCCAGATAGTGAAAGAAAGAGGTTTTGTTTCAAGCCTGAACACAGTTCTCGTGGCGCTGCCATTATTCCCAACCATAATAAAACAAAAGAAGAGTCTTCAGATAAAGAAAATAAAAACAGTCTAGCTATAACTAAAGCTAACATGAGAATAAAAGAGGTGCTATCTATCCAAACAGCTAAATGCATTAATTCTTCCTTGAAAGGCAGACAAAAAAATTTGCACCTGTTCTATGGCATTATATAAAGAGGCTTTAACATACATGCTCTTGGGGGTACAGAGGTGCAGACGAGAATTCCTAGGTATTTAGACATCTTGAGAATATTAAATGACCTTTTGAGGTGCACATTGTTACTTTGTAGGTCAATATGTAATACATATATTTCGTGGTTACTAATCTTGACTTACTGTATTAACATAGTTTTGCTTAAGTTATCGATGTATAACTGTATCAACGTTTTTATTAGTTGGACTTTTGTATGTATAATTAAACACCTTACTTTGTTATGTTTAATAATACCAATTATAACTTTTCAATGTCTATTCTTCTAAGTGGTTTGGAGTTCTCTACCTGATCATCAGTCATTAGTGTAGTTTTCAACACTCATGCCAAGTATCTTCCTATAAAACACTGACAATGGTGTGATGCTTCCCTCTCCTCATGCAATTTTACTGTTCACCAATTTTCTTTTAGTGCAAGTAAAATTCTATTTAATTCTAAGAATTCTATTTTCATCACTGTATTTTAATATCCAAGGCATATTAGCACTTTTGGAAATTATACAGTCTTTGAGTCGGTAACATTTATCTTGTCTTGTAAAGTGTCCAAGATGTTCATTTCAAGTTATTTTTCAAGAAGCTAGAAGTGTTGGTTTTATTCCATTCTCTCCTTTTTTAAATTTATCATTTAGCTACCTCCTCTGTTTAAATGTTTTAAAGTCTTGTATTATTGGTGTAATGATAAACATGTCACTTGTAGTGTTGCATAGTATGATCTTATAAATTACACTAGTTGAAGGGTCCTAAAGGAGCAGCTATCAATGCCTCGTCTGCAAGTAAATTCTTCATGGTCTTGCACTTGATTATATACAGTCTCAGTATTGTTTAAACATTATAAACTATAAACCTGTGAACAGTACCTCTTCAGCAAAGGATTATTCAGCTAATTCTGTACTAAAATGAGCAGCAAACTCCAGCAGGGCTTCAGCATTCGTGTGCAGTCTTGTATTCCAGAGTAACTAGTGGCAAATGGAACATTTTATGACAGATCCTTCCCATTCTCCAGTCTTGCCCAAATATCTGATCCTTCAGACAGGTCCTCTTTTCCTGCCTGGAGATTGCTCCCAGTAGGAGTGCTGAGATAGGAAAATGAGACCCTGCTGCTTGTCTGGGATTTCCAGATGTCCGTCAGTCTTTCAGAGAGTGGCCTAATAGCTGTTGCACCTGAGAGAATTGACTCTTCAGAGAATGTGCAGTGATTTGGACAGATCCCTGACACAACTGGGGAATTCCAGACAGAAGTGTAGGATCTCTATATTTGCAGAACAGAATAAATACTGATTTCTAAATACCCTGCTAGGGATTCAGCATCTTAAATACCCCTCAGCAGTTTATAGAACGTCAAAGCTGAAGTCTAAGTCTGGGTGAGCCAAGATCACTTCAGTGACTTCAGTAAAGTTTTGCCAACTCATTCTAGCAGTTACCTGGTCAATGTGAACTTCAAAGGAGATGTTAATTGCATTATCTGTTCAATTTGTGACATCAGGGAAACTTAATTCCTCATATTGGAACAGAGTGTATGGATCCAACTAGTGTGGCATGCTGACTCCAGCAGTAATCTATATCTGATACTTCAGATAAGGTAACTTTCCTCTAAGCCTTATGTACACTTCATCACTTGTGCATTAGGGAAAAACAATTCCAGCTTCAAATGGCAATCAGCATAGCTTTGGAATCATGAAGACTCTGCTGGGTTTTAATTTTAAATTAGATCATATAACAGGAATTCCCAGTCACACTAAGTTTTCATCTTACTTTTAATTGTTTTGCTTGGAAAAAATGTTTTAGGAGGGAATCTCTGGAATATGTCATGTCAAACTCGGAAATTTTCATTTGAGAGAAATTATTCATAAGAGTTCAGTAGAAAAACTTTCAAGGCTTATGTCAAACATAAGCATATATTTAGGTGTAAGTCCCTAGCCATTGCTTTTGTTGTATCCAAACATAGTGAAAAAAGTTAAAATACCGTGAAGAGGATTTTCTTAAAGATACGACTATTCTTAGAGGAAAGAAACGTAATAGTTTCCTATATGTAAATGGAATTTTAACATCAAGTATATATGATTTAGAAATAAATTCTTGATACATATAATGGAGGCTCCCACGGAATTTTATCTTTTGGTATTTGCAGCAAACTGTGGATTCCCTGTGGCATATCTTTATGAGATCCCATAATTTGCCACTATGCCTGAAAATTACTTTTCCAACCAGCCTCTTCTTTGATGAAGCACAATTAACTGAACTTCCACTATTTTTTATAGTTTGGAGTGCTGCACATTTTCTACAGTTTTATGAGGAATAACAGAATAAGCATTACTGCAGGGCAATTCTTCTTTCAATAAACCCAATAAACTCTTGGCTAAGCAAGAGTCCTGGGTGAATATGAACGAAACAGCAAAAAGGACCTGACTGTAGAATTTGGTTCTTCCCAGGCTTGTAAGCTCTTTCAGAACTTATTTTCATAAAGCCTTTGTCATTTTGTGGGGTATGGCTTAAGTAGTTACTGGAACAGGGGAAGAAAATGTATCCTGGAAGCAGGCACATGATAATTTGGTAAAAATGGGGTCTAATCAGAATGTACTGGCTTACTCAACATTTAGGAAATAAGAAGTAGCAATTAGCTGAGAGTTTACTCAGCAATTCATTTCCCATGTTAATATTTGATGTACCACCTACGGACTGGTGGAATCAATCGCTTAACTGAAAGTGCCTTTTTGAAGCTCTGCTTTAAAGGGCTTGAACTTCTCAAGGTAAGACATTTTATGCATAACTCGAATGTTATTTATACTGTTGTGAAGATACACTTACCAGTGTTTTCTGAACTCCTGTATTAATCAGTGTGGAGCTTTAAAAGTCTGCTGAATGTTGAGTAGAATAATATTTGCATGCTGAATGAATTCATAACATTATTATGGATTACAAGGCTTCAGTATCTTTAAATTTTCTTTGATCAGTTTTCTAACTATAGATGCAATTTGGATCCCAGCTCTTGGTTATGCCTGAGGGATTTCCTGCATTAAAATGATTGTATTATAATGAAAAGCTACCATTTAAGCGCTCATAAAAAGAACGTCCCCAAAAATCTATGGTAATACTTTCTATGAAAAAACACAGATATGTGTCTCCTTGAATTTTCTTTAAAAATATTTTTATTCATATTTGTTTCACTTTCATTATTTGAGTAATACAGAAAATAAGCAGGACTTAGTGCTGCAAAACAGCACTGAATCCCCCACTGGGCAGAGCTGTGGTGACAGTTGTATAATTTTCCGTGCAATCTGAGTCTCTGAAGCCCACTCGAGCATCAGTGATACCTTGTAAAGGACATCTGGTAAAATGTGATGAGTTAGTTGGCTGAACAGTGCATAACTGTATTTTATGTAGTACTTTTTATGTAGTATGGACCAATGTGCAGTAAGTTTTTCATCTACATTCCCTTCGTATTACAAACATGTTTATTCCTTATCAGAATACATTAGTGAATTAAATTTCATGATTTCTTGCTTAAAATACTTGGATGCAGTAATTTCCAACATGGGTGAAAAGTGAAGCTGTATATAATGATGCTTCTTTCATTTTTATACAAAGAAAAAACTTTTCCCGTGGTGACACCTGTGCGATCAGGCCTGCAACAGCACCTTCAAAAGATGTTACACGTCAGTGATAGTGTTACAGCGTTACAGGAGAAGTTTTTCTGTTGGTGTTTGCAGATCCCCGACAGGCTAAACTTCTAGAGACGGTCTTGTGGAGTGTGAGGACACCTCAGATGCGACATTATTATCTTATGTGAGCTGGGGGAACCTACTTTTAATACGAAAAATGCAAGTTTGGGTTTTTTTTAGCTGTAGTTCTCTTAGGATACTGTAAAAAGCCTTCGTGGCATGAGAAAGTATCAATTAGCACTTAAATGATAATATTTCTAGTGTAGAAGTTGACTTTCTAATCATCATCACTGCCCTTAGTTAAGATAGATACAAGATAAGTTACTCTCTCTTTTTTCAAATGCATATTTGTTACACAGGAGATATGGACTGAGTATCAATTAAGCCAACTCTGTAGGTGTATTTATCTTTCATTATTACAATCTAAAGAGCCTTTTACAATTTTAACTATGAAGTAAAAGATGAACAACGACTGAATACAACAAAATCAACCAGTTGCTTTTAGTACTTGCTAATTTTGGTTCCTTAAGCTTGCTTCTATAAAAATACACCTTTAATAACTTAATATTCTATTTTGAAGCTAATCTTGCTATTACATACTGAATTTCAGTTAGGTGTACCACTATGTTGTTATATGTTAAATTAGCTTCAGATATGTATAGAATTTAGAAAGAAATTGAGATAGGAATGAAAGATACTTGATTTAGACAAATAAAAGTTTAAAATAGAAATAGAAAATAATGGATTGTCAGAGATTCAAATCTGTGAAATCACACTGTCAAAAATAGATTATTAAAGAAATTGATAATAGCATAATTTTAGCTGTTGTTAAAAGAAGACACTTAATTGTGCATAAACCATCAAATATTATGTAGAAGTTCAAGATTTTCTTAATTTATTTTAAATTCAAGGTTGGGATAAATATTATTCTTCTCATGAAATTATTTTTTTTTAAAAGCCCTGTTGCTAGCTCTCCTGAAGTAGATTTTAAGAATCCGGTGATGACCTGCTC